AGGATTTGCCCCCTCCAATGCCTCCGGGCCCAGGCTGGGTGCCCCTGTCATCCCAGAGGGGTCTCCCCCGGCGAAGGCAGTGGGAGGGGGTGCGCGCTGTGCCGCAGCGGGGACACAATGGGGTCCTGTGCGGGCACCGGGGCCGATACAACGGCGTGGGACATTGGGCTATTGTCCGGGTCGGGGAGAACAACAGCAGCTGCAGCTGGTGGCTCTGAGCTCACCGGGCTGCCACCACCCCTGTCACTGTGGCACAGCCCCCCCCTTCCTGTGCCAGGGTCCTGGGGATGCTGTGCCATGTCCCTGTCCCCCTCCCAGCCCACCCTCCTGGTCCCTGTCTCCTGCAAGGCCACCATGCTGCTGGGAGGACCTGGCTCCTCTTGTTCCTGACTGATGCAAAGCAGTGGGGCAGGTCCACGGGGGTTTGCACCCCTTCCCGGGACCCCCCCTCGCTCCCCGGGGCTGTGGGGAGGGGAGAGAGGCCCTGGGGTGACCCGGCACCATCCTCCTGCCACCGTCACTCTGCGATGGCCATCTTTGTGACGCCTGTCGGCTCCAGCCTCCCGCTCGGCAGCACCGCGCTGCCGCGAGCCGACGGGGCAGAAAGCTCACCCAGCCTGCACGGGAGGTGGCCCCCACTCGATGGGACCCATGAGCGAGCAAGCCCAGGGCCAGCTCAATGGCTCCTGGGCTAGTGGGGAGTGGTGGCAGCACCGCTGCACCCCCAAGTGTCCCCCAAACCCCTCCATCTGCCAGCACGGGGTGAGCATCCCGGTGTGGTACCCGGTGGGTGGGCGGGATGTGGCTGCCAGGACCGTGGGGTGCCAGGTGGGTGCCCAGCACCCAACGTGGGGCTGTGGCCCCCTCGGGCAGCGCTGGGGCGGGCGGGCAGCCCTGGTCCAGTGCATTTATCACTAGTGACAGAATGGGAGCAGGTCTCCATCCCCGATGTGTCAGGCCCCGTCGCTCCGGGCGCGTGGCAGGGGGGACGCGCAGCTCCGCGTGATGGAGGAGGGACGCGGCGTCAGGTTAAGCCCAGGGGGCTGCCCCATCTTTTTGGGGTGGGCAGCCCCCCGGGGAAGCAGTGTGGTGCCGTGGTCGTGCCCACTGTGCCACTGGAGGGTGGCATGTGTGCAAGTCCCCAGCCTGGTGGTGGGGACAAGAAGGGACTTCTCATCGGGGTGCGAGGTTGCCAGTGGGTTGGGCAGGTTTTGGCCTGAAATCCTAACTCTGCTCAGAGTCCGTTGTCCTCCCTACCCCTTTGGACCAGTTTTCCTACCCCTTCTGTACTGCCGTGGGGTGCCAGGTGGGTGCCCAGCACCCAACGTGGGGCTGTGGCCCCCTCGGGCAGCGCTGGGGCGGGCGGGCAGCCCTGGTCCAGTGCATTTATCACTAGTGACAGAATGGGAGCAGGTCTCCATCCCCGATGTGTCAGGCCCCGTCGCTCCGGGCGCGTGGCAGGGGGGACGCGCAGCTCCGCGTGATGGAGGAGGGACGCGGCGTCAGGTTAAGCCCAGGGGGCTGCCCCATCTTTTTGGGGTGGGCAGCCCCCCGGGGAAGCAGTGTGGTGCCGTGGTCGTGCCCACTGTGCCACTGGAGGGTGGCATGTGTGCAAGTCCCCAGCCTGGTGGTGGGGACAAGAAGGGACTTCTCATCGGGGTGCGAGGTTGCCAGTGGGTTGGGCAGGTTTTGGCCTGAAATCCTAACGCTGCTCAGAGTCCATTGTCCCCCCTACCCCTTTGGACCAGTTCTCTTACCCCTTCTGTACTGGGAGGGAGCTGGAAGACCTTGGTGGTGCCCAGGAAACCGTGACCTGGCCATGGTGACCCTAGGGATGTGGGTCTGTCCTGCTGGGTACCTTGTGGGGCTGGGGATGATGCTGTTGTGCCCCCCAGCACTTGGAGTGCAACAACCCCCCCTGCCCCCAATCCCTGGCCATCTGAGCGTTGAGCTGGAAGACCTTGGTGGTGCCCAGGAAACCGTGACCTGGCCATGGTGACCCTAGGGATGTGGGTCTGTCCTGCTGGGTACCTTGTGGGGCTGGGGATGATGCTGTTGTGCCCCCCAGCACTTGGAGTGCAACAACCCCCCCTGCCCCCAATCCCTGGCCATCTGAGCGTTGAGATGCAGCTCTCGGGCCACGTTTGGCTCCGTGTGGGGCTGAGGAGCAGCCCCGGGGTGAGGGGGTTAACCCAGACCCCGCAGACGGGAACCAGCTGCTCTGCCCCAGAGCCGGGGCTGGAGGAAAAGCAGATGTCGGCCGGGGCTGAGCTCTCCCCGCAGCTGGGCTGCAGCACCAGGCAATCACGGCTGCAAATTGAGATCAGATGTGGGGCAGCTTCTCTCTCTGTAAATGGAGCGCTCTGGCTGCTGCCTGGGCTGGTTTTGCTCTGACTCGGGGAGGAGGAGGAGGGTTTTTGAGTGTTGCTGGGGCCCAGGGTGGCTCTGGTGACCTGCAGAGTGTTGTGCTCCCTTGGGAGATTTGTGGTTTCCTCCACCAGCCCCTTTGTAGCCCTGTTTCTTGCCTGTGCTGGGCTGGAGGTGGCTCTCAGCAGAGCAGGAGTGATGCAGGAGCTGGTGGCTGGTGTGGAGAGGATCAGGTTTGAGCTGGAGGCTGATGTGGAGCAGCAGCGAGGAGCTCAGCCCCTGCCCTTCCTGGGTACGGACAGTAAGTTGGGGACAGGGTCCTGTGGCATCCTTGGAGGGTGACAGGGGGGTGGGAGGTGTTGGGGTTCTCCTCCTCATCTGGTGCTCCTGGCTCTCACTGCACCCACCACAATGTCTGGGTGCTTCTTGCCCTGCCTTCCCCCTTGGGCTCCTGCCCAGGATGGCTTGGGCACTGCTCCATTGGGCACAGCTCTCTGGGGACTGCTGGTGGAGGGGGACAGGGTGCCTGTGCCCCCAGTGGCAGGGTGGTCCCAGCACTGGGACCAGTGGGTGAAGGTCTCCCTGCTCTGCTTTCCCCCTGCCAGTCTGTGAGCTCTTCCACCGAGGGCTGTGCTCCAAGGGTGAGCACTGGGGAGTGGTGGGGATGGGGCCACCACCACCCTGCAAGACCCTGGGGACACCAGGGAGCTGGCCGGGTCCCCTCTCTGCTCTATGGCCAGCCCACATCTGTGGCAGATTGCCCTGTAGCCCCATGGCCAGTGGGTTGGCAGGTTTTGGCCTGAAATCCTAACACTGCTCAGAGTCCATTGTTCTCCCGGCCCCTTTGGACCAGTTCTCCTACCCCTTCTGTACTGGGGGGGCTGGAAGACCTTGGTGGTGCCCAGTGGACCGTGCCCTGTGCACTCAGAGGGCGCTGCGAATCTCCTCCACATCCAGGAAAGCTCCAGCACATCCCAATCCAAGGAGGTGGGGGGTTCCTGGGTGCTGGGGGCTGTGATGGTGGGGGTCAGTGGGATGTGGGTGAGCTCTGACAGCGGGTCCGTGCCAGGGCCAGGCGTGCGGTGCCCGGTGCGGCGCGTGGGCAGGGAGAAGCCGGTGGTGTGCAAGCACTGGCTGCGGGGGCTCTGCAAGAAGGGTGATGGCTGTGACTTCCTCCACGAGTACGACGTGACCAAGATGCCCCAGTGCTATTTCTACTCCAAATTCGGTAGGTGTGAGCCCGGGCTGGGGACCCCAATGAGATTCTCCCCCCCCCCAGCACCCACGTCCCTCGGGTCTGGCCTCCGGCAAGGACCTGATGCCCCCTCTGG